CCCGTGAAACACAATATTTCGTGACGTTATTTTAGTCGTCATTAAAATGGTGAGTTAAGTACCGTAAATCGAGAGCAGTTTACTTGACGTCCGCTTCCACTGGTGTCTTGAAAGATTGAGTCTACTGAGCGTGCATTCCTGCAGAGGAAATTTTCATTGATAGAATATTGACACGTCAATCAACATTTGATTTCTCCTTGGTAACAATTATTGCGAAAGCCCGTTACAACCGCCGAACCGCATCTCCCTATATCAGGAAACAATTTATACCCAGCCTGAAATTCACGCATACATCCGTTTGCTGGGCCACGCTACTTGAGCTAGCTGAGCACAGCTGGCAGCGGCGCGAGCAAGGCCACGAGGGGAACGTGATGGTGCTCGAGCACCATCACGAGCAACCGGTGTTTCGGCCACCCCACGGGTGCGTGTCGCCATCTCTTGGTTGAACTAACGCCTTGTTCAAGATGGCTGCCGTGGGACCGCAGCCTTAAGCATAATCGAAAACCACTGAATCAACTCTTTTTAGAAAGATATAGGGCAGGAACAGCATTTTACGGCGTTCCGTAAAAACACTTTGTTTGGGCCACTGATCTCCACTATAGGGTGTTTTCACTGACGTAATTTTGTCCCCCATTTAGTTGTTTTTAGCTGTTTGGTGTGTTCCGAAGGCGAGCATTCCAAGGATTTACATGACCCCTTAAATCCGTAGAGCACAGAAGCTTATAAGTCTTGCCACGCTGACAACTCCTTGACAGGTTGCTATGTAATCCTTCATATTAGTAAATTTCTTTGACAAAACAGACTAACAACGAAATGGCGGATTGACGTCATGTGAAAACAACCTGGACGGCGCATTGAGCAAGCAGGTATGAAGCAACCGGAAGTAAGCGGCTTGTCCCGGAAGTAAGCGCTTGACATGCTTTTCAACTCTTCCGAGTGCTGAACCGAACAGCAGTTAGGGCGCTAGATTTTTTCTTGTCATCCCAAGAGAGCCTGCGCGTTGCGGAGTAACAGCGCATGCGGACCCAAGAAAGAAGTCTCCTGGGAAGCCATTCGATGTGAAAATTTGGAGAGTCTAGTTGATCAAGTGTCCGTATGTCCCACGTTCAAATGCCTTATTCTATGGGTTTAATTCGGAACGGGAGTATTATAACTCAATCAAAGATAGAAAAAAGCATGAACCGAAATATCGTCTGAATGCACTAGGAAGCCCAGCACACGCCTGACTTCCGGGACAAACATCGAACTTCCGCTGGCTTCACTTGCGCCTTGTTTGAAGAGCAGCTATGCGCCATCAGTGATTTGAACGCGTTTCTAAGTTTCGATTTCTTATCGGAGTCCATCTCCGCGCAACGAGACGTGCAACATACGTGCGCCATATACTTCCCTCCATGCTACGAGGAAGGCTCAGGCGAGGCGGTGGCTTCGTGTCGCGACCACCGGGGAGCATGACCCCGGACGCAAATAGGTATCTCAAATAAGAAACCGAAACCTACAAACGCGTCCAAACTGAGCACTTTTTCCGAATGCCGTAAAATGCTGCCTCTGCGTTATTCGCCACTTTTTTGTTTGGCAACAAACTCAGTGGGGCCACCTACTGTTTAGCCCCGGCACACTTCCGGTTTACGTACATTTCCTAATTTTTTACTTATCGTTATTTTATAATAATAGTGAATGAAGTCTGACAGTGTTATAAGCGGCCATTTCCACGCGGCCTGCGTATTTGACTTCGCAAATACTGCAAAACCCGCCGTCTAGTCCAGAACAGGAAGTCATTGGGGGCTATTTGCACACTGGCGCCACCACGTTTCAACTCACGCAAGAAAGAGCGAATATCTTTCTTACAACAGTTGATCTAGTGATTTTCGATTATGCCTCGCAAGTTTCTCAATGTAAGGGCCCGAAGGCTAGTCTACTTGCACACCGCGCTGCAGCTTTCCTCAGGCCCCCCATCATAATCGATGGGAATAAAAATTATTCTTATACGTTTATTTCCACTAATTAAAAAAAAAACGATTTAGAAAATTTTAGGTAATTATTTTGCTAATGGACCTTTTCCACATACCGACGCACCAGGCGGTGTCTGCACGAACTAAAAATCGAGGAGGTGACCTACCTGCGCTACCAATCGATACCGGGAGCTACGCTACCAGTTTCTTCGCTCTCCGCGCTGCGGCGCGTGCCCAACGCGAGCTTAAAAATGGGCATCCGTGGCGTCCACCCAATCGTTGTGTTTTTCCTTCCGTCCACTTTCTTTTTTTGTGTAACCCAATTATATATATGCTGCAATTACGTGTTCTACTCGCTTATCCACAGGCTCATTCCGAATTTCCTCGATTTTTCGTTCAGACTTCTGCCGCTTGGCATCGGGCGCTCGCGCGTGCGCAGAACGCTTCTCGGAAAAGGTCCATTAGTATGTTTTTAGTATCCTTGACGTCCACCACTTGGTCCCGCAAGGTTTCTATCTCCAATAGCAAAGTTTTAGGGATTTTTGAAACCTTTCGCAGAAACACCTTGTATATTATTGGTTTGGAGCTGCCACTGCCGCTTTTGGAGCAAATGCCAACATCTGTTGGCAAATCACTTAAAAAAAAGGGATCACATCGCCAAGTAAGTTTATCCATGATAATGACTGAGGGTTCCTCTCCGATACTGGAGCATAATACTTATTACCTTTCGTGATAAGGATAGAGCGCAAAAGGAACACACAGCTTTCTTTTCAGAAACAAGGCTCCGATCAGAGTAGGTTCCATTTACAATAAATATATATATATATATATATATATATATATATATATATATATATATATATATATATATGGCTGAAAAATGAACCCTAGAGCAAAAATTTCAGTTCAGATAAAGCCTGTCTTTCCTCCCCATTTTACACTTGTTTATTTAGCCTGTAAATGAAATTCCTATAAAATGCAAGAACCAGCATATCCACTAACACGACTATCAATAAAAACGCATCCTCCAAGTATTATGAACCTAGCAAACGCTGGACCCTAGTGACATAAACTGCAAACACAACCAGCCAAAAACATTATGCAACACTTGTTCCTTAAAAGTGACACTGTTCTCTAGCGGCGTTGGAACCAAAGTCTAAGATCGCTGCTCTAGCGATCGACAGCTGCACGGGAACTACCGAGACCACCGTATGTATCCAAATATAGACCAGCGTTTTGTTCTTTCTTAAATATTTTTCTTAAATTGGAGATCAACCTATAAGCTAAGCAAAGGTCGACCTGTAATAATCCTGAGCATAATTTGCGTGTCTACCGCGCTAAGCCAGGCGCTTCCTTCGCTTTTTTCTCCTCCCTCCCCTCCCCCCGGTCAGACGCTGCTCCCAACACTCCGGCGCAAAGCGGCGAAGCTCGACGCGCTGGTGAGAGGCAGTGAATGTTGCCGCGAGCGGCGCAAGCGCCACGGTGCTCGGTAGCCACGGCACGGAAGCATGTGGCAGGCGTGATAATAAACTGATTTCCTGAGGTGCACAAGATTCTGGTTCTGTCTAATCACACTTGCCGCCACCCTACTATTTTGGCAAAGCTTTCTCGCGACCCTTTAAAGAAATGTGTAACATCAACCAGCTTGCCTGTTTACTCACTTTTTCTTCAACGCCCCGTTTTCTTCAAGCATCAAAAAACAAAAAATGACAGTTCATTTGGTGAACAAGACTATATTTGGGTGCCAATCAGCATGGGCAGAAAAAATACCACTGAAGATCACGTGAATGGATTTGACGATTTTGAAGTTCTTGATGAAAGAGACGACAAACATCTCATCTGCGAGTCGTGCCACTGAGCCACTAATGCAGACCCTCACCACCTCGTCTCGCGTATTAACTATACTACGTTTCACCTTATGTTGTACCGCAGAGAAGGCTAGAAGCACGAGCTCATAGCGTTGGGAGCTGCTCTTAACGCACGAGAGCATGTGCCGCCGAGATGTACCTTTGAGCAAGGAGCTCGCGCTTGTAGCCTTTCCTGCAATACATCATAAGGCCCGTTCACACATGCAGCGGAGCGCTACAAGCATAGCACTAACCTCGCGCTAAGCGCGTGCTGACGGCAGCGTTCACCAGCTTTGTATCGCACCGTCAAAACTGTTGCTCATGGCATACGATAAGCAGCTGATGGCACGTGAGGAGCGCTACATCAGCGCTTCGCTGCATGTGAGAACCGGCCTATAAGAGTATAGCCCGTCAAGCCAGCGCGACATCCTCAGCTGAAAAAGCACCAAATAGAGCCAGGTATGTAGTATTTATGCGAAGTTTTCTTCGTACGCCGACTTTCATCTCGGTTGCGACAATGACAACCTGGTCACTATTTCTGCTTGTAGTTTTAAAGATGTACAAATGTATTTTCTAAGTGCAGTGTTAATTCATGAAGCTTACTCTCCTTGTCCAGGATCACCTGCTTAGCTGACACTAGAACAGTCAGTAACAATGTTTGTGGAGAAAAGAAAGTCGAGATGATATCGTTTTATACCATTAGCCCTGATAAAACCTAATATCTTGCCCGGCACTAAAAACAAGCGCCAAAAAATATTGATACCAGAATAAATTTAGAGAAAAAGATCAAAATCACAGCATTTTATCTATAAGCAACCAAATCGTCAAATGTGTATATAAAAAGAAACACTAAAAAAAAATCAAGGAATGCATGTTTTGTTGCCTGTAATGCAAATACAAAAGGAAAGAAAGTGCCAGACATCATAGAATTATGATCACTGACACTTGCATTTAACATGTGCATGAAGAAAGGTCTGATACTAAAGTGCACTAATGGAACTCGTCAATATACCATTTTGCTTCAGTCATTTCAACACCTCATTTTCAAACCTAAAAGAAAACGAGAAAAACTGCAAAAATGCAGATGTAGTTTTCATCTACTTTATCTGACTAAATTACCCCCAGGTTAATTTATGTCAGAGGCGTCTTTTTTCAGAAACTATGGCTCTGGAGCCTCCTGACAGACACACAACTTAGCGAGACATTTTACAATGAAATGGTCGATTTCATTTTATGTAATGCAACAAATACACTTGCACAGTGTCAGTGTGGTCTGTGCATCAGTCTAAAAGCCTTTCTTGATGTGTTTGGAGGCAGGAGGATTCACAATCTCGTCTAACTGCCTCTGCAGCTCTTCCAGCTCCAAGTCGGGCACGTAACGGATCTCTTCGTGCTCTGGTAGATGGGGGTGCACGCTCAGCCTGACACCTTCGGCGAGCGAAGACTGCACTGCTTCGAGGAAGATGGGCGCCACAACACCAGACAATAGCGACACCTGCAGTCATGAACGGCACAGTATCAGTCATGCCCAAGTCTAGTGTCCATTGTAGGCTTTGGTGTGCCTTTTTGTTCTTCAAGCTCAATAGAACCGTTTTATGTCAGTAAACGCTTCAACTCTTGCCTCTTTTTCGAATGGAATACTTTCTTAAGAGCATTTTTGTCGTCTGCAATAGATACGTCAAAGTATTTAAATAGTTCTGAAAACTGTGATGTCGGAGCTGTCGTAGGACATGTGGGTTTTTACACTGTTCGGTATTGTTATGTGCATAATGTTAGAATGTTTTATTTTATTTTCTCGTCGGTGTTACGATGTATTGTTGCTGCTACTGCTGCTAGGCATCATCAATAAATAAGCAAATAAACAAAACAAGCAAATAAGTTGGCACCATTTTACGGAGTAAACTCGGACAAGTATGACTGCCGCGAATGATGCAGTATATCCGATTGCATCAATTTTATGGGGATGGCAGCGAAATTGACTAAGTTACACACTTAATTTTGAATGTTACTTGCTTCTACATTCTATTCCAGCATAACGTGGCAAAGGCAAAGAGGAGGGTTGGAATGAGACATGTGACAATGTATCATTTGTGCACAATTCTGATTATAGAGGGCGGTCACATGCTGCACTCTGTCACTCTAATTGGCTCACAGGGGCTGGGTCTTCGCCCATTTCCTAGTCACGCTGAAATGGCGTAGTATAACCATCAGAGTGAGCAACACTAAGGTACCTTTCAAACTTCTGCCCATTTGCAGTTTCAACAATTCTACGTAAGAGTTAAGAATGTGTGTCCAGTAAGCACAGCTGCAGATACCGGTCTCGGTTTCCGTAGCAAACCGTGGTCGAGAAATTTGGAGGAACCATCCCAAATTGCTGTATCGATTTTAGATCCACACTCTCACTGAAGGTTTTGTGGCAGACCCCACATTAAAATTGGGTCCAATAATTAATAGTATGACTTGGGCCACTGACACAGCACAAGGGGGTTCACCATTGGAGAGGAGGTCTAACCATTGTGCTTCTAGCGGTAAGGTTGAGAACTAAACCCACGAGGTCAACAATACGAGTTATTTGTTTGCATTTCCGATGCAGTGGTCGGCTGACATCGCCAAACACTCTGTCAGCATTTGGCTAGAGCTTGTGTTCAATCAGTGAAGCACAAACGGAACACAAGACCCAGCCGAACGCTGACGCAGTACTTCATATCCAATTTGTGCCCTGCGCTCGATCAAAGATGGCATAAAGAAACCAGTGCAAAGGGCCTTGTGTTGGGTAAATGCCGAGCTTTCAGGAAAACAAGCTGGACAGAGCACCCTTTACATCTCAATCAATCTCCTCACTAATAGAGATTACAGAGCCTCCCACTAAACGTTTTCACCAGGCCAAATGAAAAACGACCAAACACGCAAAAACATCCACCCGCATACACCAAACAATGAACACTGTGGCTTTTGTGTGCAACTCTTATACTACAGATGGTCAAGTCACAACAAAAGAATTGCTCACCTGTACATTGCGTTCATAAACATTCAGTTTGTATGTGTCTTCCACTGTTGTGCTCTGAGGTTTGTAAGTCGACGCTGCGAAGGACTCCAGCGGGGTAGCCCAGCTATTTAAAGGAGATGAACATCAATAACCATGCACAAATTATTTTCATTTATGAATGTATTTTAAATGCAACAAGCGAGAGAAAAAAAAAAAAAAAAAAAAACGGCCAACATCAAATGTATACAATACGCACACCTCATTCTACACTTCGTTCCACAAGTCCGAACTCAGCCGACACCCCGACCCAGACTTTTGTGTGTCCAAGCCCCTGATTGCGTTCGGGCTTAAGGTGAAACGATGTACAAATACTGCTGAATAGCACGTGTAACCCTGCACTCCTTTGCGCAGTAGGAACGGCGGATAGGGTAGAACCCACGCTTACCATTCTGAGACTCGAATTCCCAAAAGAGCGGCGATTTTGGCGACTTTCTTGGCGTTATTTTCCAGCACGGTGAAATCGTAGCCTTTCAGCTGTACGTTGACCAGGCCGTCGTAAACCGGGAGCGGTGGTTTTAAATACTGAAAACGAAGCGTTTGAAAAGCCACCTTAAAGCGAAACTACAACCCGAGAAAGTTGTCGATTGCAACTTAGGAATCATTACCTGAAGGTATTCGGGCTCGTGGTATTTCATGATCATTCTTCTGCTCCATAAGCTTGACTTCGGAAGTCCTTGCAAAAGCTGAAAAACCTTTGGAGGCAGGAAAACCAGAGAAAAGTTGCGGCCTCGGTTTCGAGGTCGGAGCGGTCAGAGCAGAGGATCGTTGGGCAACTTACGTGTTTTCCGAGCTTGTTCATAACGTACGGTGAAATTTATGATTTACAAAATTCCGGAAGAATGATGACTATCTTCGAGTGTGCAAATGATGATTAGCATGAAGGAATCTCAAGCTTACGAACAGCGAGACATGTCAACGAAGAACGAACACCGAAACACGCATGGCCTGGCCAGAGGCTCTGGCCTGGCTCGGCTCGCAGGCTGGATGGATTGGATCAGATTGGTGCTACAACGAATACTTTTAAATATTAACATGTGAGATTCGTAGCTTCTTCCAACATAATATTTCTACACTCAGGTATTAATCACAAAAAAAAAGACTGAAGAAGCAATTTTTTTTATTAAAAAGCTGAAGTTAATTTATCACTTTCCAGACGAAATCGAAACTTGCTGTCAGAAATGGCGGCATAATTACCAGTTCTGACGAATGGTACTTACCTGAAGTTAGAGCGGGAATTATACGAAGCCTATGGAAGCACTTACTATCAAGTTCACAACTGCTTCTCAGATGTCAACCGCCGAGATCGTGGAGCTCCAACGAACGGTGGCGAACATCGCTACTTCGGTAGCGGTGCTCACCAACCGCCTCCCTCCGTTAGCCACGGAGGATGTCGAACTCCGACATAGTGAGCGGAGCAACTCGCCAGACCTGGACCCTTTGCGTCCCGCTGACGAGCCCCATGCCTGGTTGGGGAGACCGACGGAGGGCCGCCCCCGGGAGGTGGACCCTGCCCTCCTCGACTTCCTCAAAGAGCACTGGGGCCCCGAAGGGCGCGCGGAGCGGTGCAGGGCGGCCCTGACGAGCTTCCCGCGACCGCGGCTCCCCTTCGCCACAGTGCCGGAGCTAAATCCGGAAATGAAGGCCCTGGCGAAGGAGAGGAGCCGCCGTCCAAAGGGTGGCTCGGAAGGGCCCGCCAACGTCGCTGCCCGGGACCAGGCACTCCGAGAAAGCCAAGACGGAGTGGCCGCTGCTATGGGGCCACTGGTTGGCCTATTAGAGATTGGCCTCACGGAGGAGGCCATTGATAGAAAGACGGTGGCTGACCACGTGGGGGCAGCTACCGCCCATCTCGGGCGGCTCTTCGCGTCGCTCTCCCGCGAGCGCCGGGAGGGGGTGATTGCACGAGTGGCCCCAGACCTCCGCCAGATGGTGGCCCATGACGGCGGGGACGAGGGATCCCCACTGCTGTTTGGAGAGGGCTTCCTGGGGCAGCTGCGAACGCGGAACGAGACCATCAAGGTCCTCCGGGAAGCCCGCCAACCGCCCCCTCCCGCCGCGGAGCCAGCAGCCAAGAGGTCCCGCAGCTCGGCTGCCCCAGGGACCAGTGCCCAGAGCCGGAGTGTGGGCCGGCAGCCCTTTCACGGGGGGCCCCCTTCCCGAGGCTACACGAGGGGGGCCTACCCCCGCCAGGGACATCGAGGCAACGGTAAGCCCGCACCTCTTAGCACTGCCGCCCGCGGGCCGACTGGCATATTGCCGCGAAGCTTGGAGGTTACTCACCCACGATGCTTGGGTCCTTCAGACAACACAGGGGTACAAGCTGGAGTTTGCACAGGTACCAGCGATTCAAGGGTTGCACAACGTGCCGACCCGAGGGCAGTCAAATCAGGTCCGGGAGGCAGTGTCCGAGCTGGTCAGAAAGGGAGCGGTCTCTCGGGTACCACCCTCCGAAGTGAAGTTCCTCTCCCCCTTCTTCATGGTACCAAAGAAGGACAACAAGATGCGCCCAATTCTAGATCTCCGACAACTAAACGAGTCGGTGCAACACAACCACTTCAAGATGGAGGGGTGGCACTCTGTGAGGGATCTTATCCAGCAGGGCGACTCCATGATACGTATCGACCTGAAGGACGCATACCTGTCTGTCCCAATCTGCCACCAGGACCGCCCCTGGCTCGGCTTCCGAGAGGGGGACAGGGTCTACCGTTGGAACGTGCTGCCATTTGGCCTCAGATCGGCACCGAGAGTTTTCACAAAACTACTGAAACCAGTCGCGGCCTATCTCCGGTCCAAGGGACTTCGCATTGTCATGTTCTTGGACGATATCCTTGTCATGGACCAATCCCCCTCCCTACTCGCAAACCAGGGACATCTAATCGTGAACCTCCTACAAAACCTGGGTTTTGCCGTAAACTTGGAGAAGTCGGTACTGACACCAGCCCGGGACTTGTTGTTTCTGGGACTATCGATAGACTCGAGACGATTGACACTCGAGCTCCCTGGAGAGAAACTCGCCAACCTGTTAGACCACCTACAGCAGAGGCTAGAGCAACCGGTGATCTCGGCCCGCCAAGTCGCAAGCTTGGCGGGACAACTGAATGCATGCCTAATGGTACTGCCGGAGGGTTCCTTTTATATCAGGAACCTTCAAACAGATTTGAGACGGGCCCTACAGAGAGGTACATACACGACCACTCTTACACTATCCAGGGACACGCGGCAGGACTTAGCGTGGTGGATCCGAGCACTGAGGAAGACCCCAAGGGGCCAGATCAAGACACCCCCAGTAGTACAGACGATACAGTCGGACAGCTCGCTGAAGGGGTGGGGAGCATGCTCGGAGGGGTGGACGATCGGGCATCACTGGACACCACTCCAATCCACTTGGCACATCAATGCCCTGGAGCTGATGGCAGCCTTCCTGGCCCTTCAGGCGCTGGCAAAGAATGTGTCTCGGGGCTCCATCCTCCTCGAGCTAGACAACACAGCAGCAGTAGCGGCCATCAACAGGAGGGGCAGCACCTGCTCTCCACAACTCACCAGGATAGCCCACGAGCTATGGTCGTGGTGTTGGGCGAGGGGAATATCAGTCAGGGCGCAACATATTCCGGGGCACATGAACACGGATGCAGACCAAGCATCCAGGAGAGTGATGGATGCCAGCAGTTGGAAGCTGTGCCCGTTCACATTCAGCAGGATCAACTGTCTGTGGGGCCCCGTGCACACGGACCTTTTTGCAGACTTCTCCAACCACCAGGTGAGGCACTACTACAGCTGGAAGCCGGATCCTCAGGCGGCAGCAGTGGATGCTCTCAGCCAGGACTGGACGGGTCAGGGCCTCTATGCCTTCCCACCGTTCAGCCTTGTGAGCAGATGCATTGCCAAGTTGCAGAGCTCCAACAGTCCGCTCATTCTAGTAGCTCCAGTTTGGCCATCTCAGCCATGGTATGCCTCGCTGCTGCACCACTCATACGAGGAACCGCGTCGTCTTCCCCAATCACACGACCTACTGCGCAGCCACGACGGGCAGGTACATCCAATGCTCAGCACGGGGAGCCTGACACTAGCAGCATGGAGACTGACCAACTCCAGCAAACTCATAGCCAACTTTCGGAGCAGGCTGCACACCTCATTGAGGCATCATGGAGGCGGGGAACACAGCTCACCTACACCTCTTGCTGGCGCAGGTGGGAACGCTGGTGCCATTCAAGGACTGTTGATCCCTTTTCTCCCACTTTAACACAGGTGCTCAACTTCCTCGCTAGCCTCTTTAAGGAGGGCCTGGCGTATCGCACTATAGGGTGTTACCGTTCTGCCTTGTCTCAGATCTTGCATAACTTTGACGGTTGCCCTCTAGGGGAACACCCATCAGTTGTGCGCCTTATGAAGGGAGTGTTTAATTCTAACCCCCCCAAACCCCGATACCCCACAACTTGGAGGGTTGAAACGGTGACAACCCTCCTGCAGTCGTGGGGTCCTAACAAGGATCTTAGCCTCAAGATGCTTACTAGCAAGCTAGCTATGCTATTAGCCCTTGCCTCAGCAGGCAGGACGTCAGACTTGTGCCTGCTTTCAACATGCCACATCCGTAAACAATCCGCGGGTTGGGAGCTTGGGCTCAGTGGCCTCAGAAAGACTTCTGGGGCATCTAAACCCCTTCCCACCCTCTTCTTCCCAGCATTCGAAGAGGTTCGGGAATTGTGTCCAGTGGAATGCTTGCAGGTGTACCTCGAACGAACTGCAGGTTTTCCGAGCTTGTTCATAACGTACGGTGAAATTTATGATTTACAAAATTCCGGAAGAATGATGACTATCTTCGAGTGTGCAAATGATGATTAGCATGAAGGAATCTCAAGCTTACGAACAGCGAGACATGTCAACGAAGAACGAACACCGAAACACGCATGGCCTGGCCAGAGGCTCTGGCCTGGCTCGGCTCGCAGGCTGGATGGATTGGATCAGATTGGTGCTACAACAAATACTTTTAAATATTAACATGTGAGATTCGTAGCTTCTTCCAACATAATATTTCTACACTCAGGTATTAATCACAAAAAAAAAGACTGAAGAAGCAATTTTTTTTATTAAAAAGCTGAAGTTAATTTATCACTTTCCAGACGAAATCGAAACTTGCTGTCAGAAATGGCGGCATAATGTTGAGGCGTTGAGGCGAGCCGCGAGTGTAACCTTAAATACTAAAAAAGCGCATTCACACTCCTTGAATGAATTCCATGACTTCATTGTTAGCGAGCAAATGCCAATACACCAACTGATTTAGGTCGGAAGTTTTAGCGAATACCATTTCGAAACTTCAACAGCTGAAACAAAATGCTGCCAAAAATATATTTTTAAAGGGACACTGACACCCCCCAAAAAATTTTTCTAATTTATTCCAGGCGCTTCATTACGGTGTCGGAGGACTACCCAATCAATATTTTGCAACAGAGTAGCGTATTTTTTTAATAAAGACAAAAGACGCAACTGCTCGAAACCGAAACCGAAACCCGACGGAGGTCGGAGAAGTGGAGAGAAGAGTGTGTGGCGGAAGTCACGTGGCTACACCCGACCGTGTGTTTTTTTTTTTTTTTTTTTTCTCCTTCCCGGTAGCAGACGACATGCGGCGTATGGGAACTGTTCGCCGTGGGATTCTTTTGCAGTTATGTATGTTCCGCTCGTTGTTCTGTGCTCCATGATGAGTTGTTTCATACATTGAGGAGTTGGAGATGAGTAGTGAGTGCCGTGGTGGATTTTGATCGGCTCCGAAAAGAATACACCCAAGATGTTGCGTGAAGAGCTGGGGTGCTATGTTGCGCTTTTTGCACTCCCAGGAGACTTGGAAGAGGGAAGTGACGTCAACGACACAGCAAACGCAGATTGGATGTTAACAGAAGGAAACGAAATCAACATCCAATCTTCGTTTGCTGTGTCGTTGACGTCACTTCCCTCTCCCTAGTCTCCTGGGAGTGCAAAAAGCGCAACATAGCACCCCTGGCTCACATGTCCCGCGTCCGAAACAGAAGTGGCATTGTGCGACAATGGCTGTGTTCCAAATCTTACCCAAATGAACCCGAGTTACTCCGGTGGGTCGTGTTACGTCGCAACACAGATTGAAGAACGCTGGACGCGGGTAGGTTTTGGAACGCCAAGGTACAAAACTCTTACCCTGGAGTAAGATCGAGTAAATTTTGGAACACGGCCAGAGTTTCCGAAAGATCAACGGGATTGGGACCAATGGCTGGCTGCAATTCCTGTAGACCATTTACGGGCACCTCGGAAAGCGGACGCTACCTGATTTATGCTCCTTGCATTTTGTGGAAAGTGATTACATTGAGTTCGCAGATGTCAAAAAGGAAATCTCATACCATTTAATTCAGCGACGTGTCGTCCACAACATTTGTTTCTTATATTTTTTTTTGTTTGTTGTTTCTTCAGTAATAATTGTAAAAAAAAAAAGAAATGTAGACATCAAAAAATATTTGAAAAACTTTAAAAAAGTTCCTCCTTTCTGGCTGCTCGTCCACCTTCAAACATTTCCCCACTTCCCTTCAACTTTGTTCAATAAGACGCTATCAGTACATAAAATATTTCATTGACAGATTGCTTCGTCGACACCAAATTTTCATCGACAGCTAGTTTCGAAACACCTTGCAACATTCCGCTAAAAGCTTCTTTCTGCATACATCGCCTTGGCTGCCAGCATCCTGAGGGTAGCTTGGCTTGCCAAACCTTTGGCAGTTCCTCCAAGGCTTAGTGCAACCTCGGGCCCCCAACATTATATTACATTTTCCCCCACCGTAGAAAAGTGAAGCGAGGGTTCACCGTGTGTAACACGGTCCGGTTAGAAGCCTAGGATTAGGGCTTCGTAAATTAATTTTTCCTCAATTGGAGTTGCCTGGGTGGCCCCGCTATTACCATAAACTAGCGGGCAAGCGCGCACTCAAAATTTAGAGATAATCGCAAAAAAATGGGGGATGGGTGCTTGTTTGGTCATCGATTTTACATATCAATGTACTGTGCATATTTTCTCAGATCTTACGAATTTGGGTATGGGCGTTTAGTGTGGTATGGGCGGATGTGCGGTACTCTATGGTAGGATCGAGATGTTTTGGTGGCGCCCTCATCTGGCTCTAGTCCAAGACATCACAACCAGGATTTGCCTCGCTGTGACTAAAGGCACTACTGACTCCTGGGAAAGTAGCACCAAGCTCCCCATATGGCTGCCATTTTGGTTTATAGAAAGAGCAATTTTTCCTCCACCTCTCCATTCCTGATGACAGGTTACTTTCCAAAGACATTTCTTGAATACCAAGATTTCGCCATCCACACACCGGCAAAACAAGAGCCTCCACACCGCCACCTCATGCGGTGCTGGTGCTTGGCGGCATTGAAAAATAATTTTTCTTTCTTTAAATATGCAAAAATAACAATACCATAAAGGCCTGTTCACACTCTTGCGACCTCTTAAAACTGGGTTCCTCGAAACCTCTTACGAGGACACACTGGCGCCATCTATTGGGTAGCAGTGAAAACTTGGCGGTCCGGCATTATTTCCATTTCTCTCCTTTCTTTATTGGCTCAAAAAACTTTCGTCAATGTTATAAACGAGCCTTTCTTATAGGTATTATGCACATTTGACCTTGGAAATCCCGCAAAACCTTCGCTCTTGTGAAATGCAGTTCCAGGGTCACCACATAGATGGCACCAGCGTGTTCTCTCGTCTAGAGTGCCTTCATACACACGCGCTTTTGCTTGAGTGGTGACATCTCGGCCATTTTTCCGCTCAATTGTTTTTCATGCCTTTTGAAGTGCGCGCAATCCGGTGTCACTCAGCTCGAGCGCATAGCTTTGGCTAATGCATAGACGCCATTTTACCGCCCAAGTCATGCACCGAGTGCGCGAGAGCGTCACGCGCTGGCACATTCAGTGCAACAATGGATGTCTTCACCCTGAGACAGACAGACATGCAGGCCCCCTACTCTCGTCCTAGAAATTTTAAGAGGTTTTAACAAGTCTCGCCTCTCTCGGTCGTACTCGGTTGCAAGAGAGTGAACAGGCCTTAATTAGAGATCTGTGTGATTTGGTTCTTATTTCCGTCGATGAAAGCAAAATGTATCCAAATGAAGACGTCACGGGAAACCTTTGGCCAATTGCAAATTCCGACCACAGCTACGCTTTTGGTTGCGCACATCGGCAATAGTTCCGGATTACTTCCAACGAATTGAAGCCAGTAATGCAGTAGCAAAAAAATTATTTTGACGAAGAAACGTTGCAAGAGGAAACGAGTTTCAACGAAATGTCAGCATGGATGGAACTTGTCGATAAAAAGTTGTCCACGAAAAGCACTTCAACAAAAGTATACGGACCTGCAACGAACATCCCCTTCAACATACCGAGCCACTTGGAAAGACAAACACCTCTTCTGGTCATCCAGAATGGCCAAATGCACAAAAATGTAACTACGATCAAGTCCAAGGATGCAAACATGCATTTCAGAGCTAACCCTAAGCAACAAAACGAGACAGAACACTGCACAGAACACAGGCAGTTTCAAACGACTGCATTTGAGACCTTCATGTGTGTGTGCATGTTGTTCCACATACATATTTTTAATTCACATTACTGTTCTCGTGGACAATCTCCTGTGGCCTTTCAGTAGTACCTCGTAAAGAGTGCTCGTGCGCAACTTTGATCGCCGCTCAAGGTACTCGAACGCACGTGCGCCCATAGCTTCGACTGCGCAGCCACAGAAAGTTGCGTACAACTGTAAATCAAGGAACTCTGTCAAAGGAGCGAACCCCCACCTCCATCCCAAGGCCGCCACCAGTCATACGAAGCACCATCTAGAGGCCGTGCTTCAAAACCATATTTCTTACAGAAGCTCAATTAACAAAGTGCCATCCATACGTGTATCCTAAGGATCCAGTAAAGTTGCCTCGGTCTCGGGGACACGCAGTTTTGTCCAGTGCCTCGGAAAGCCGTGCGAACCGGTTTTGCAGCTCACCCCACTCACCTTGCTGCTGTCCTCGGTCTCGCTGTAACTCGGCAAACAGCAAACACTACCGTCCCAGAGAGCCAACCAGCACGTCGGAGAAACGCACCACTATAGCCTACCTCACCAGATGCACGCAGTGCCGTCAAAGCCACGGGCAGGAAAGAAAAAAGCCTCTTTCGTACGAATATTGAGCGACAGGCTAATCTCCAAGGGACGAGAACTCCTCGGACAGAAAAAAGAAAATCCGGGAAAAGAAGGAGTCCCTTCTTCTCCAACTGCTTGGGTTGTGCTCTCACCCCCCTACCGTTGACAAGGGCCAACCCATGCTTCGCCTCTGTCGCTTCGACGTTCTCTCTTTACCCAGTTACGGCGAAACAAAGTATAGTTAGGCCCCAAAGTGCACATCTACAGTTGGCGATAGGTTAGGAGGTCGGCAGATGCTCCGCTTCAAGTGCAAGCTTTTTATCTTCGATAACACTTTGTTGCATGCACTGCCAAAGCCCGGCAGAAAGCATCGAGCACATGCTGAAGGAGAAACTTACAGTAAATTCTTAACCTGTCGCCTACTATAAGACTAAAGAATGTCACTGCCCTGGATGTGCGGGTAAGCCAATGGTGATCTTTATCACCGTCGGCTCACCACGCCAGCAGAAGTGTATCGCTGCCGGCGAGTGCGGCAATCCTGCTGGAGCGGGTTTCGGAACGACTGCTGTGAAGTGGCAAAACAATAGCAGACCAAACCCCGTAGCCTCGTCAACTGCGAAAGAAAAAAAAGCCCACGCATATTTTTGAGCTCTTCCATACTACTTGTGGGTCACTTCTGAGGAGAACCTAGACCAAACCTTCTTTACGCTTAAAATTAAACATATTTATTGTACAAAGGAGAAATCGACCACGGCAATCGTGCGTGCGTAAAGAAAAAAAAAGAAAAAGTGCCGATGGATGTAACTATTTGAAATGATGTTCTTTATCGTGATGGAAATCTCTGTCTCCGTGTCTTTTTTTTCTTCCTTTTTATACAGGCACTCTTGGAGAGAATGGAAAATGATGAAAGACGGCAGCCTTAGCCGCTCTGAGGGGAGGGGGAAGGGGGGGTCGACGCTTGTTTCAGGGTTGCTGTTCTTCAGAAGGATGATCGCTTTTTCGTTGACGTCGAGCTGCCACTGCTGCTGCTCGATCGATGAGTAAGATTAGTTAAGGAAGCACGCATTAGTGTGGAGACAATTATGATTAAGATAAAAATTAACTAAAATCAATTAAAATCAAATTAATCAATAAAATCAACCCAGATGAAAATACATGTCCGGCATGACGAGTCGCACCACACCGGGTGGGCGGTGGCCACGCTTGGTTACTACCACAGCCACTCAATAAGTGACGCTTCAATGTAACGACACTTCACTTGTCTTGGTTCTTAAAATCGCTGATGCCAGTTATCTGAACCTTTCCCTGAAATCGCAGGAAAAGTTTTTCCGTCCCACAGAAATGCTGAAGTAGACTGCACAGAGCAAAAAAGCAACGTCATTCACCCTCTATTCCGGTCTGAAGGTGAGGTAAAGGCAGCGAAGTTACAAGCAACAAAAACATTTAACCCTTTGATGGTTGAATTGTTTCCCCAAAAGATGTTTCCTAGTGGCTCAGTTCTGTTTCCAAAGAAATAGCAAGGGCCAATGCGCAGGGTTTTTCTTAATTATTTAGTGGGATCATGTAAAGTACTTGCACACAGCTAAGTTTAGAAACATCAAATTAAAATATTGAAGGCAAAAAGTTGTCACCTTTTGCCATTCAGTTTTATTTTGGCGCATTCGCTTCCGCGACATTCCAGAGGCTTCAGATTCGTACACGGAGGTAGCTTACAGAGCTTTTCCGTCGCATGATGAGCTCTTATCCCCAGAATTTAATTTAGAAAAGCATTGGAAGTCTGAATCGGAAGGGCTGGTGCTGCCATGGGCACTACCACCAGAGCGGTCGGTGTGCAAAGTGTGCATCGAGTGAGCGGAGTGTCTAATTTGAAAACTACAAATAACCCAACAAAGCAAAACACCGTGTAAATATACCTTTAAGAGTTCGCCAAATATGTAACAGATAGCAACACCTCCGACGGCCGTACATGTACGGCGACGCACGTCAAAGGATTAATCTTTAAGTGAGCACGAGCGAGTTTTTTTTATTTTCACGTCAGAGGGTGATGGCAAGAGAGCGTCTTTTTTTCCACGTCCGAGAGTGAAAGGGAATGACCGAGTGAGCGCATTTGTGAGGAACTCCGGCGAGCCACACCGTCAAGACTCCGTTAACGACCAACGATGCCTCGAGGACCCCTGGACGAGCCGAGCGAAAGGATATTGCTTCTTGTCGTCCCGGTCGGCCCTGCGCTCTCGCAGCTTGGGGGACTCTCGCAGCTTGTCCTCTTCCTGAGGAGAGAGTGCGACCAGCTGGTCACGAGGGAGCCCCAGCAGCAGGGGCTGCTGCTCTCTCACCCTCCGGTACCGCTCCTTCTCCTTAGAGTCCTCCCCGTTGCGCTTGCTCGAGCTCTTCACTGCACGTGCAAAGGGCAGGCGCCGTTAGGAGACCGCTTTTCTTTCAGACACAATGAGAAACCGCAAAAGCCTCTGTTTTCGTGCGCAACGGCCATCTCAAACCAACCTAGATTACGCATGTTGGAGCAATTTAAGCTGGGAATGAATAGAAGAGTGTAAAAAGGTCACAGGGACAAGCGGAAGACACACACAAGCGCAGCGCTGTTTTATTGTCGTTTTATGTATTCATACTGTGTCTTCTTTACGTCCCTGTTTCTTTTTTTGTTTTTTGCACTGTTTTATTTAGTTTTATTATGCACAGACTCTTTCAACTGCTCAGCTTGCAAATTTCAAGCTGCCATATCCTGTTTCACTTAAAGCGTGAGCAAAACTGAAGCTACAAGCACGAGCATATTGCCTCGAACGATGCATGCGCTGCACAAGCGTGCGTGCCTGGCAGGGACGCCAAAGGCCCGTAGCTTGCTCTCGTGACTTGGAAGTGATATGAAGGGAACCTGCCACAGTTGGCGATTTGCCAGCTGTGCCAGGTACTTTCTCCCTATGAAGATGGTCACATGACCTCAAAATCCCTCTCGCCGGTAAGTTAGTCACCGAGCAAGATAGCTGCGGCGATTGGCAAACTGGCCCTGGAGAACGAAGTTTCTGGAACATTGTGTGAAAAGGTAGGTGTCTTCGAACGTTGTTGTTCTGAGAGTCTCAATTCCAACGGAGGCCTCGTGCCAGAGCATCTGACATTGTGCGTGCTTGCAAGTAAGATGCATCAGGGTGCACTGACGAGAATTGCCGGGAGTGCAACAACTTTCCCAGGAGCATGGAAGCCCCGGTTCGACCCACTCGTGCATCACGTTGGTTTTGCGTCCCATGAACTTTGAAGCACAAGTACTTTCGAGATGAAAGCCATTATTGGCGAGCAGGGATGGGCAGTATCTCAAATACAAGTATATTAAATACATATTTCACATACTTTGTGTATTTTGCATTTGTATCTAATTACAAATTGGGTAATGTATTTGACGTGTGTATTTAAATACTAAAACGTGGGTATTTCAACTACAATCGTAATAGAATACAATTTTGTGGGCAAAAATACATCCCTCAAGTTTATTGTCACTGCCCAGAGCAGGAAGAAAACTATGTTCTGCACCGAATGCAGTGTCTCTCAATCAAGCACAAGCGTTTAGTGACTTTGTGATTATGGTGCTAGTTCAGGGCAAGGATAGAGACGAAATTAACGTTCACAGGCAGACTGGCTAAATAAGTGCCTGTGACTACTTGTGATGCTTTCCAGCCTGATTTCCATCCATATTTTTGCCTGGAACATTCTAAATGCGCGGGTCATCCAGATTTTTGTAACTGGTGCGAGTTGCAACAATAAAAGATTCTCTAGCTAGTGCTGCGCGTCTTGGTCATCTCGGTTCTTTGTTGGTCTATACCAAAATGTAATCGACAAAAAAAGTTGCTTCAAGCTCTGTACTTTTTTCACCTATTACGTCAAAGCTGGTTACATTTTTTTGTGATTATATTTCTATTACGTTACTAGAGCCTCGCACACTAACCCCCGAGTGTGCGATGCAAAATTAAAATGAGATACCCAGAAACCCGTTGCAGGTGTCCTGAAGTCGCTGACGCAAATTTTGAGGAATGTATTTGGAAAAGTATTTGGAGGAGACCAAATGCATTTGGTTGTATTTGTATCTTGTACTTAAATGCTTTTTTGGAAATGTAATTAGATTTCTAATTAAATACATTTTTGACGAAGTATTTTGTATTTGTATTTCGATACATATTTGCATGCATTTTGCCCATCCCTGTTGGCAAGGTATCGCAACAGATCCCATGAGTGCTTCGGTAAGGAAGTGACGTCATGCGACACTAACGTCACGAGAAACGTTTCCCACTAAATTTAGTGAAGAAAATTCTTCGCTTAATTCAGCGGCGAAATTTCAACGTTACTACACGCAACACTGGCATCTTGTGAAACTAAATTCCCGCTAAATTTATTGAGATTTTAGTGGTGCGCAAGGTCGATCAACTAAATTTAAGTGCGGCAGCGGAACTGAGCGGGCAGCGCCTCGGCCGTCATCGGAGTTGATTTGCAGGACGTGGCAAGGAACTCACAATTTTTTAACAGGACCCCAAAACCCCCAGAACCTTGTTTGCATGTCCCCACATTTCCCCGCCAAACTTAGCGAGGAAATCGAATTTGTGTACAATTACACGGCAATTTATGTTGCGTCGCACATCATTGATTGTGCGGAGAGCACATTTCCCCTAAACTTAACGGAAAGATTGAAGTGGTCTACATATGCAAATTGAGGTCATGTGACGTCAATTTCCCCCCTAAATTAAGCCAGGAAATTAATGTGAGATGACACCACAACTCTGCATCAAGACCACGTCACATGACATCTGGTCATGCGGCACGGTGTCGCTGTGCCAAGTTGCGGTGGCACCCGACATGCCACGTGGCGCATTGTCACGCGACGCCATGTGACACCGCATCACGTGACATGACACCGAGACGTCAATGTAGTCTCCATTCCCTGAAACGACAGTCTAATGTCTTCCGAACAAATTAAAAATTCTGCGTTACGTGCATTGTTTGATTCTGGAGATAAAGGTAGCTGCCAATTCTTGTGTAGCTCACGTTGCACCTGCAAAAGTCACTATGGCCACAGATATGCGTTAAGCGTTGGAAAGTCCTAGACGGCTGCCACACAAATTGCACCCAGGGAAACTTGGGAGGTCGTGGTCCCACACAATTCTGTTTCGACGCACTTAGTCGTACTGGTTTTGCGCGCCGGTTGGGTGCATTCATCAGGAGCGCCGTCTCGTTGCTGTCGAGGAAAGCCAGACACAAATCCGACGCGCGCACACCACAAGAATGCACACACACACGAGGCTCCGCATCCTTCGCTCGCTCGCAAGGTCGGCCCAAATAACCCTACTAAGAGAACACATTCCACTCTCTTCATTTGCATTAGACACTGTGCCCACAGTGCCAGGTTGTCCCCTAGTGGAGTGGAAACCCCGCGACCGAGAGAACGCACGCACATCGTGCTCTCCAAGCTGTCGAGCTTTTGCACTGTGCAGAGGGAGAAGTCTGCTGCCAACGCACCGAGGAACCGGATTCACCGAGATGGCTGTCTCCTCCGTCTCATTGAGTGTCCGCAACAATGGATGGCGGCAGCCACCGCCTCCCACTTCAAAGGGGAAAACCCCAATGCTGCGCTCGTCCGGCTGTTCCGACTACGCCGATACCGTTGGCGTCAAAGCTATTAGATTTTTCACGGTGCATGGAGCACTGTGTGCATAGAAACCTCTTAAAATCTCTTACGACGGGAGACCACACCGGCGTCATCTATCGGCTGACCGCGGAGCCACTCGGCGGTTTCATAAATTTCCTATTATTCCGCGCATCTTTTTTTCTTTTTTTGGCTCGGAAATTTTTTGTTAATGTCATAAACAACCATTTGTAACAGTAAGTACTTACACTTGATACCGCAAATATTGCAAAACCTGCGCTCTAGTGAAACGCACTACTGGGGTCGCCTCAGTGCCGACTTGCCAATGTGTTTGCTCGTCGCGAGAGGTTTGAAAAAGTTTTAGGGTGCACGGGCCTGAGGAATTACGAGTGTACACCCGTAAAGGCACCTGAGAATCGCGGCATAAACAGTTGGCACACTCACCCCCGGCGTACATAAGCAGAAATCTGAAAGCGAAGCCAGTGACTCAGTTCACAACAGCAGCAATGCTTTGCCAACGAAGGAAGCGTGAAAACGATCCCAGATCTGCTTCCGTTAGCCACGCCCCCCCCCCCCCTCCCGCGAGATCCAGCGTGGCACGAGCAGGGCGCAACACGGCCGGGATGTCGCAGGACGGTAAGTTATGATGAATTGAGCTCGAGAGGGACGAGTTCAAACGTGAATTGTAAAGTCTGGTCACAATAACTAGTTAAGAGCCTCTCACATATACGAAAAGGAGTGTTTTCCTTAGTCCGATTAACATGCCCAATGCGTTCGGTTGAAACCGAAACCGGGAAATACTCGTCTGGTTCTCATTCCTGAGTGATCGTATACTGTAAACAACTAAATTTTCGCGAGGACCTAATTTTCGCGAATTTTGCGAATCGCATACAATTCGTGATAAATAGGTCCCACGAACAATTCGGGCAATATGTGAACGCTACGGAAGCTACACTCGTTTCGCAAAAATTAGAACCCGCGAATAATGTCAAATTTTCAGCTTTGGCCCGATTCGCGAAAATTTGAGCCCTTGAAACTTAAGTCGTTTACAGTATATGCCACCTTGATACAAAGAGGTGTGTGGACTCATGGAACGATTCCGTCATTTATATTCCTTTACTTAAAACATAAAAGAACTGGTTACGAGAGCTCTTTGGTGCCAGCGACTTCTAGTAACAAAAATGATTTTCGTAGCGACTACCTGTCTCACATGGTCGTTCCAGAAAAATATTTTAACGCAATAGCATTTACACTCAAAGTCTATGCTCGGGGGCATGCACACCGCTTTGATTGGAGCTCAATCTGAAAGAGGATACGTGCGCTCCTAGCTTGGACTGCATTACCACAAAAAGTTGCCCCCGAGTATACCGTAAAATACAGAGCATCCGCCCATCCCACAATGAGAACCCACCCTTCAATTTTGTAACATTCGAGAAATGCACGAGACATATCTTTACATATTGCTGACCTAATAAGTGCCCACCCCCAGTTTTACACGATTTTCACCAAATGTTTAGTGGGAGCTCGTTCGGGATTTTACGGTGGGCTAAACTAACTCAAACTTTAAGCAGAACTCACTCCCACTCATTGCAGAACTCCCTACCAAATGCAAAGCTGAACTCGCTCAAACTTAAAGTAGGACTCGCTCAAACCATACGCAGAACTCACTCCAACCCTACGCAGAACTCGTTCAAACTCTATGCGCAGAACTCGTTCAAAGTCAAAGCAGAACTCACTCAGACTTAAAGCAGAACTCAAGCTCAAAGCCAAACCCACTCCAACCGGGGCCCGTGGTCCCCCCTGCACTCACAGGCGTCCTCGTCCTTCTTGCGCTTGCCCTCGAGCGGGGGCTCGTCGGAGTGGTCCCGCTTGCGGCTGCCCTTCTTGGCCTTGCCCTTGTCCCCCGTGGCCGGGTCGTGGGAGTCCTTGGGGTGAGCCCACTTCTCAGAAGGGCGGTCCCCCCCTCCCCCGCGGTCCTCAGACTTCCCCTCGGGTTCCGAGACCTTGGGGCTCTGCGTGCCCCCGAGGCTACGGCCCCGGGGACTGCCTCCCACCTTGCCACTGCTGCTGCCGCCGCTGCTGCTGCCCCCGTCCACGCGCCGGCGCTTGTGGTCTCCGGGCGCTGCGTCCGACATCGCTTCTGTTTATTTATTTATTTGATAAGTGCCCAAAAACAGCATGATGCCTTCGGCATGGTGCACAAAAGGAAACGAAGCACAGTAAGTATGTGAAAATAGTTAAAAGAGACAAATAAATAAATGAACAAATAACGTATGTGACTGCATAATAGTACACGTTTGTGAGGCAGCCCTCTTGCAAGTGCCTAAAGCCAGACAAAAGCTCGCAAGCAGAGGTCCATTCACCCTTACTGTAACTGTAAGCGCAGACAGGCAAAATTCTGCCTCGTAAGATGATTAACGAATTGCTCATAGGTGAGCTCTTTTTAATAACCAGTGATCGTAAATTACGGATTCAATGAAACAGCAAAGCACCGTGTCTAGTCGCCACATTCGAGATCGCAGAGTTATGCTCCTGTACGCAAGCAGCCGTCCTGAACATGCTGGTTCAAACTTTGTAAAATTAATACGAAAGTATGTAAGAGGCACTACAACCACAATTTTTACTCTAACTGTAAGGGTAGGAGAACATTTTTTTCAATCTCGTAAAACAATTCACAAATTGTTCGCAGATGAGGTCTTTTTAATAACCATTGATTATCATTTCTGGATTCAATGAAACACCACAGCACTGTGTTCAGATGTTTTTTTAGTTCTTACATTAAACTATGTCTAAAAATAAGTCAAAAGAGTAAAGACAAAAACTCACAATAAGCGGCTTTCGACGCCAAAGCTGCTGAAGTATGTAAGCGGCACGTCACCGATAATGTTTACTGTAACCGTGAGGGCAGGCGGACAAACATTTTCCAGTCTCATAGAACAAATCAGAGATTTGCTCGTAGATGATGTCTTTTTATTACCCAGTGATTACCATTTCTGGATTCAATGGGACACCACAGCACACTGTTCAGATGTTTTAAGTTTACAATAAGTAGCTTCTGATACCAAAGTTGCCCGAGGCAAAAACTTTTCACCCAACTTCTCAGCAACACTGCCTTCCCATACGTCCGGTCGCAGTGGACGCTACGAGCCGTTTCAGGCAACCCAGCCGTGAACGTGGCACGCGACTACACCTCCTGCACATCACGGCGCTTTCTCTCGAATGTCACGGGAAACTCGCACGGCCTCGTAGCATCAGCTGCAGCCAGGTGCAAGGTGAAACAGACTCTCCCAACAAAAACGCCTCATTTCGACAAGATCAAACCCACCGTCCCCGGGCTCCAGCCAGTGGTCATTTTTGTGGACGTCTTCCTTGGAGGGCCTGACGTCCTGCTCGTGGAGGGAGGACAGCGAGCTGCCTTTGCGGTCGGTGGCGGCGCCCTTGTCGTGTCCGTCCCCGCTCCCGGACTCCTTGCTCAGCGACCTCCGAGGAAAAGCGGCCGTCGTGGCACTCTCCACAACCGCGCCAAAGCTGGGACACGGAACTCGTTACGCCGTGCACGCCACCCGCTACATGTGCCCAGCTTCGACGTCGCTTAGGCGGCCGTCGTGGGGGCCTCGCTGCTGAACGTATGTTCGGCAGCATGCTTTTCGCTCAATCAAATTTGTTTTTCTGGGCAAAAACAAGTAGTAGTGACCACCGGCACGCTGCAATGGCGTCACGTGCAAGCCATGCATTGACATGGTTCTTAGATTCCCCGGTGTGAAATTTTTTTGTCGTGCCACGGGAAAGTTTTTTCTAGAGACGAACTGAGCCAACAGAGGCGAACTGCCGACAATAGGGGTTGACCGGACCGCTCGGATAACCTAACGGGGAAATGTGTGCTCAGAGAAGTAGCCACGGAGAAAGCTGCTGGATTTGTCTGCTCTTTCGCGAGACTTATTAAAAAAGGATGGACTGAAAACAGCATCTAGACTTGAGACTTAGGGGTTACATTATTCCGTAATGAATAAAATGCCACATGATGGAAACTACATCTTTAAAATTTAGTGTTTTTAGTTGTTTTTTACTCTTACATGGATCAGCTCTGCTTGTGGTGACAAAGTAAATGGTTCGTCTGAGGATCACACTGTTAGTTTGTGGTCAATTAGTTTCTCAACGCTCATGAAGAACTTGAGCGCAAGCGTGCTCGAGGCAACAAAAAAAAAGTCTCAATTCTGAGCAGAGACAATCTTGACTGATGAACGTCCAGTCGAGAATTGCGTCTACGTCACGTGAGACCGTGCACTTACCTGCTGGACTCCCTGCGGGTGGCGGACGAACTACTGGACGATGTCATCTTGGACGACGACGACGAAGAGGAAGACTGGACGAGACCTCCGCCGCTGCTCGACAGCTTCCCGGAAGAATTGCCGGACAGTGCTGGTGACGAGTTGGACTCCCTCACGGAGTCTCCCCGCTTCTCCTTGGCACCATCTTTGAAACAAAAGAAACAAAGAATTGCCCAACTCTTCAACAAGTGGGCAGTCTAAATGCGTAGCATTTATAGGCCCGCCCGCCGCGACCCCCCGACATCACGGTGTCGTGTGACGGCATCATGACACATGACGTTAGTGTGACATGACATCGTAATGTCCCATGACATTGCAGCATCGTGTAAAAAAAATTAAAATTGGCTGCAGAAACCACTATTGTTGGTTGTCTATGAATTACGATAGCATACGTCATGTTTACCTCCTTTTGTTACGAGGCCATGGACGACATCTAGGACGACGTCTAGGACAACCTCTAAGGCGACCTTAAGGACGAAGTTTAAAACGACTTCAAGGAGAACCGTTAAAGGGGCCCTGCAAGGACTTTTTTACTGGTTTTTAATTTGCACCGATCCTGAGCGCACTGAGCGTAGTAACTTAATGAAACTTTCCTTTTCTCGAATTTCGCTTTATTTTAAAATTTATAGGCAAATTAAAATGACAAAAACAAGCAAAAAATAACTTCCTTCATGACTTCCTTGGTTGCTTGAGTGGCCGTGAACTAGAAACGGGGGTAGTGAGCTCAGCGAGCAGTCACGGCTACCGCACTCTGTGTCCACGGCTCGAGAGGGCGCCACTAAAGCATGTTCTAGCTAGGATCTATGAAGGGGGCAGCCAGGGCAGCTCGCATTGCATTTGCTGCGCGATTAAACACTAATTCGGCATGACACTTCATTGGCCACAAACGACAGCAAGCACGGGTTAAAGATCAGTTCAAAACGGGAGCCACTTCGCGCTGCCATACCGCCAAAAGGCTAAACCGCAAGCCAAAGCTGCTGAGTATGTCGCCGCTCCTTCTGCAGCCAGTCTTCTTTCCTCAAAAGGGCGCACGACCAACCCCTTCTAAGTCCAAACTGAAACTGATAAGAGCATAGGAAACAGTGCGCAAAACAGACGAGGACGAAGAAACAAACGTGACGAGCGCTGCGCTTCTTACGTGTGCTTCTTCGTCGTCATCCGTTTTTCGCGCTGTTTCCTACGATGAATTCCCACCAACGCGCCCAACTATTAATACTTCTATGATAGCTGGAAAGGTTGCCGCAATCTACGAGCGACGGCGGAAATCATACTGGTTGTGTGCTTGCCGCAGTCGCTTATAGATGGCGGTAGCTGTCCAGGCAGGTTTGTGTCGACGTACCGGACACGATCCTGGGGAACCTAGCCCTTAACACCTTCGCTGTAAAAACTATGGGGAATAAAAGAACATTGTTAGAGATTCTGTGAAAAGGTACTCGTACTTGAAGTACATTGTGCCCAATGTACTTACTACTTTACTTGAAGTACATAACCTCTTACTTACTTTGTACTTCAAGTACTTTTTCGGATGTACTTTATCCAACACTAGACAAAAAGACCCAAGAGTTTCCTCTCTTACTGTTTCAGCACCACAGTCAGTACCGACTGTTGTGGACACTGCAACATTACTGTCGAGTCTCCATACCAGGCACGGGTATGAAAACGCTAGGTGCTGGCCTTATAAATGCTACGCATTTAAAAAGGTTGCGTACGTCTTATTGCTAAAAGAAAATTAAGCAGTTTCGTGTTAATCCACAGCACAGTCACAGCTATAGCTGCGACAAGACACCACGAAGTCATTGGAAATCAGTGTTGCGTGCACAAACTGTGGGGTGCGTGAACAAAAGTGTTAGGAACAAAATAAACATCTGACCATTTCATTCCGAACACTTTTGTTTCTTTTTTTGTCCCGGACAGCGTGAAAGTGCGTCTTCCAGCTTGAGCTCTTGGCACTGACGGTGCCACAATGGCATTTTGTTATCGGCTATTTTTATTTCCCAGAGAGTGCACGCAGTCGGCATCGGGTACTACAAAAACTTCAAGTTTAAAGTGGGTTGTTAATGGCATGGCGTATCTCAATGGTAACGCCTTTGCTTCGAACATGGCGGACCTAGGTTCGATTGCTGTGGGCGGCAAGTAAATCTTTTTCGGGGATTCGGCAACGTCGATGACGGACGCCATACATCACCAGCTACAATATCAACAATGACAACTACTACAACATCAACCATGGATGTCATTTCCAGTAATCGGAAGAACCGAAAGCAGCTATCGCTGTAAAAGGGGGGGGGGGGGGGATAAAGAATTGAAGGGTTCATCTCGAAGAATGGGACATTCCTTGTTTTGAAAGGGAATAAAAAAGGAGAAAAAAGAATAAGGATCACCAAAAAAGAGGTCAGCGAGGCTGCACAAATTTATGAGCAGCAAAAATCAGTCCCAGTGTCTTGGCCTAAACGAGCATCGAAGTACCGCAACCGCTCACCTAAACCGGCGTCGTGCAAGCAGCTACGATTCATCGTTGGATCACTTTGCTGGCGTGTGACAATGTGCCGCAGCCATCCATGCATTCCCCGAGAAACACAAAGAGTTTCAACTCACCGACACTCGCCACTTGGGAAGAGGTGGCAGCACGTGCCGCCGTCGTCACCGTGTGATCTGCGGCGTTCTTCGCCTGTGCGGTGGCGCTCACCGCGCGGCCCTGTTGCGAGCAGACGTTGTGGTGAACGACACCCGGCGCCGCCGCCATTCTCTTTGGTGCCGCGGCACCACTCACATCTTTGCTGTCCTTGAGGTGGAACTCGTGCTCTGGAATCAGCTCGGATTTCTTGCCCTTCAGCTGGCCGGCGTAGCTGCAACAGACATCCGAGGAAACGCCGGTCAGGAAAGAGAAATCAGGTGCGAACCGGTTTCTCTTTCCTGCGTAGGAAAGAGAACGCGTGCGCAGGAGAACTTGCCATGTCCCCGTGTAGAGCGCGTCGTCGTGCCTCTCGAAATGCTGTCCGGAAGACGTGGCAGAAGCCGTTGATTCGAGGCTTTCGGTTCTCGCGCGCTTAACTTTCTAACCACTCATTTCTGTAGAAGTTGCGGTTGTGTGTATGTTTACACGGCAGGTCAGCCCCAGCGGACGTCCGGTGTATCCACTGTCAACGAGATGTTTAACCAGTGCGGTGCGACAGCTAGCCTGGGGTTTTTGTCGTGCATCAAGCAGTAGCGGTGCACAACCGCAAGCCTGTACAATGTTCATCCAGATCGAAACGGGCAGGGCAGGCATTGAACCCAGGACGTGACACACGACCGAGAAAGCCAACGTTGCGAGGCTCTGAGAAGGCACGATCGGACATTTTGCATTCAATTTCACCAAAGTCAACTACAGGTGACCAAGTGGCCGTAATTTTCCAAGTTTTGCACAAATGAACGGCATATTCTCGAAGTGCTTCAGGAATCTCTCCCGTTTGAGAATTTGGTGCATCTTTTTTCCTGCAAAGCCTGTATGATGCTCATCCAGGTTGCAACAGGCAGGGGTGGAGATTGAGGGGATCGAAACCAGAATCCATGGGTTCTGCAGCGTGAGCTTTTGCTCCACTTGCTCCGAGCTGCGGTGCGTCAACACACCTGGCTACCAACATCCCCCGCCTCCCCCTCCCCTTTGTTTCAGGCATGACAGCGGGAAGCAGGGGTGATCCAGACAATTTTGAGTTTGGAGAAATGTTTGAAGCAGAAGAAAGATCTCGTTTTGAAGCACCTTGTCGAAAAAAACTCACATTTTGGAGCGGCTTTGGAGCAGCCCATACATAGCTTTGGAGCAATTTGGTGAAGTTCCTTAGCAGTGATACTGGCATGCATTCATTCAGTCACTACTGCCTGATGCCAATTAAAATCACAAAGTTAGCGGTTATACTGTACCAGCCAAATTGCCCTTCGACGGCTGTGAAGCTGCGATATAAATAGAGCCAAATTCGCGTTTTGATTCTATTAGTGCTAAGGGACAAAGGTTAAGGATTGATGTAAGCTCGCTAACTATCATCATTAAGAAGTCAATTTAAAGTACCAATTTAATCCCTAGATAATAGAATGCTAAATTTGCACTACACAAAGTTTTTACTAATATGGCACCAAAATGAGCAGTTTCTGAACCTCAAAACTTCGAAAGACAATATGCTTTGTGATAAACATTTTATTTACAACGAAACTTCCTCACAACTTCTCACCGCATAACCATTCAACGCCCGATTCGATTAGCTTTGAGTGTCCTCAGCCAGGATCACAATCTAACTGCCCGAAAATAAAATTTACTACACAAAAGCTTAATTGATAAAAATATTCTGGGTCCCCTAATGCACAGACACTGTAACGAGTGGGACAATCAAAGATTCACATCACGCGACATAAAAAAAGGCAACGATTGAGGGGCTGCGTGTAATAATGGTACAGTACACGTGTACCATTCGTGATATTCACGGTCCCAGATGTTACACTAATACATGTGGCACTCTACTTTCGGTGGTACGGAACACTGTACACTTATATATTCGAAGTTCAAACGCTATATTGACATTGAAAGGTACAGATAAAATTATTGAGCGACTGTTTGGCGAGCTCTGCATTCGTGCTGGTGCCACTATTGCACGTAGCCCCTCAACTCATAACGAACCAGTCCTTACCGAGCATGCCAACGAAATAGGAACCATGTGCAAGCACATTTCTACCAGCGGTGAAACACTTCTGAACACTTGCGTCGTGAGGGATGGGCTGGCCCGACCAAGGCGCCCCTGGCGGCAGTACGCGGAAGCAGCAGAGGAAGAGGGAACTCTTGCGGAGTCGCAGGGGGGGGCATGAGGGTGTTGTTGAGGCGAATCAGGACTGCGACGGGGATTTAGGATGCGTGTTTGGCTTGTTTAGGGGAGATTAAAGAAGAATGTTTTGAAATGAGTTTGTCACACCGTGCAGAAAAAAAGTATCACTTGCACTTGTTAGTCCTCAGTGGTGCACTATGAAACGCCACTAAAACTGACTAAACTGTACAAGGGTATTCACTTGGGCTAGTTGGTACATTTCAAAACGAGGATCAGTAAAGGAAGATACACACACAGTAGAGTGCTCTACTGTGTGTGTCTTCTTTTACTGGTCCTCGTTTTTTAGCGCTTTTGATCCTGAAATGACTAAACTGCGCAGAGTCAGGGCCGTGGACGAAAGTGGAACAAAACAATGCCGCAGAGCCGGAAACCTGGATTCGAACGTGATGGCTAAACCCCGCTGGATTCCCACAGTTGCCAGACAAAAACGAAAACTCTTCCAAGAACCAATTTGTTCGCAGACGAACACTTCGGCGCAGCTGGGGCGACTTTATTATTTGGGCGCAGCAAGGCGCAGGCAAGCGAGAATTCGCCGAAATGGCACAACTAGTGCGACCGGACCAACCCCAACTGGAAGCGAACTGGGACGAAGTAATGAGGCCCCGCAAAGAGTGCCACGAAGGACCACCCACCCGGTGGCAAGAGCGAAGAGGTCCGGCCTCTTCTCCTTCTCCTCCTGGCGGATCTTCTCGATGCGCCGCTCCAGCGCCTGGCCCAAGTTGGTCATGACCGGGAAGTGGGGCAGCACCTTGGTGAGCACAATCAGGCTGTTCCGGATCTGGACGTAGTCCCCAGACTCCAGACAGATGACCAGGGCCTGGGGGAAGGGTAAAACGAGGATTAGGGGCAGAGGCAGGTCGGCACGACGGGTTCCCAAGCTTACGATATTTACGGAATAGAGAGGGACTCCTTTTGTGCGCTCGTTTTGTTCTCGGAATGGCTTCTTCGTACGGCGAAGATAGAGGGAGAAAAAATCATCCAATAAACCGACTGTGCCAACGTATCTTTCGAAGCTGGTTTGTTGTGCCACGCATGAGAAGGACGCATATATAAAAAAATAGAGGCAAGAGAGTCCATTGGAAAAGGAGAGGTAGAGACAAGAAAGAATTACGGAACCACACCGACATATTCTCAATGATTATGTTCTCTCGTCTGGTTTTCTGAAGAACGTATGTCCCGTCATATACCCATCGTAATATGTGTACTAATATCCTGTTTGTTGTGAAGGCATTCCCAGCTGTTACGCATTGGGCCAACCGATCCCAGCCATCCTCTTTGGTTTGATCCGCTCCCCCAATTTTTTCACCCCTTTCCCGGCAGGGATGACCTTGAACTACACATCGGGCAATGCCACAGTCGTCGTATTGCTCGACATTCAGTTTCACAACTGCAGCCGCTTGAAGGGATTGGGCTTAGTTCGTCATTCCCACTCACCTTAGTGATCTTGAAGTGCCACTTGTGACAGACGTGCCGGTAGTTCTCGTAGTCCACGTGGTCCGTGGCAATGTCCGACGACTGGCTGGCGCCCCGGAACTTGGTCATGAAGCCGGGGAAGTTGGCACACTCCTGGAGATGCCCAGACGGTTGCAGCGACGCCTTCCAGTGTCTTGGAAACCTCTCGAAAACGGGTTTGTCTTCTCTAATTAGCGAGTTTTTACAAAGACTTCGGCAAACGTGCAGGCCTGTACCGCGATATCGATGGGGCCTCAGATTTGTGGCTAAACATAAGAGTTACCGTATTTACTCAAGTAATAGCCGCACTGTTCATGAAGAAAACCTGAGGGTTCGCTTTTCCGCGCATCATGCTGATTGCCAATCATCGCGATCGGCAGCATGATTCCAGCTGTTTAGAGGACAGAGATAACGTCTTCGTGCGAAGATACCATCTACGAAGATTGCATTTGTATGGAGAATCGTGTTCTCCATTTGGATATTCACTGTTATTTATGCGCAACGCAATGATTGGCTGTATATGCATTCTGTGGGAGAGTAAACGCAAGGGCCTTGTTCATAAATAGTGCGGCTATTACTCGAGTAAATATGGTACAGTGCCCTCAGAAAGATAATACTCCGAAGCTGTTGCGCTTTATCTTGATTTTTTTTCCATCCAAATCGCCGAGTCAAGTGACCAGCACCGTTAATTTCTTTCATCTTAACATCATTTAAGTGCTCTTGCTTCGATGCCTGTCATGCACTGCACTGCACTCAGAGGTAGCGTGAGAAAGAAGACCAAAAACAAATTTTGGCCGAAAATTTATTAAAGGGGCCCTCCGGAGCGTTCTGCGATGGCCTATTTATGGCGGTAACTCAATCTACAGGCCCTAAGGATCCTAAAAATCATAAAATTACGGTCATGCGCGGTGGATTTCTTTATTAAAATTGCTATCAAAGTCCCCGGCACGCCCCCCTTTCTGAGATGACCCCGGAAAACGGAAGGGGCATCTCTTTACGCATCAGCCAATAACAAGCAAAGAATTCCGGCGTCGCTGCGCGTCACCAACGCGGCCGACCGCCGACCCGCAAAGGAATCTTTTGAACACACGCGGACCGTCATCAACGAGCCCGGACTTTGTGCTCGGCAGTCGTCGTTCGTCGCACCGCACCGTCGCGCTGCTACTGCAATACGCAGTCGCATTCCACAGATGACAAGGAAAAGTTTGACTCGTTGACGTGGAAGGATCGCAAAGCTGGCTTCGGAGTCGGAATCCACGGGAAGAAGGAACACGTGTCCCGCAAACGCATGTCTGCAGATGCCCCGGGAAGCAGATGCGCCGACGCATCACCCCTATACAACAAGCTTGCGGGGAGAAAATATAGTTCGCTGGTTTTGGAGCGATAATAGACCCTTTCCGAAATTCAGTGCCATCTGGAGGCTGAAATGGTGGTTTAACTTCTGCCATACGAATGGCGGCAATGAACCCGTAGCCTGCAGTATTTTATCGGGCACAGTCACTTTTGCATGTCAACGGCAGACGAGAATAAACTTTTCGCTATTACAGGTTTTTCTGGATCATCTCTTCCAGTGTCAATTCCCACAACGATGCAATCAGAATGAAGCGCCAAGCCAGACAGAAGGGGTGTCGAAGTCGATTTTGTGCCACTAACAGGTTCCCTGGGCTCGAATTAGAGAAATGAACACTTACGCAGCGCTTGCATTCAATTCCGGTTTCCCAACGTGCTAACGTGTAGAATATATAGGCCTCGAATCCTCAGCTTAGGAGTATCTTCAACATGTTGCTTCATCAGTAAATAGAAAGCCGCCATTGGTATGGCACATATGCCATTTTTCAGATGATGATGATAGTGATCAAAGTGGCCAGACTGAATTTCGGAAAGGGTCTATTGCTGACTATGTTTCCCGCACCACAATCAGTTTATGTTTTTCTCAAACTCACTTTTTACAACAAGCTCAAAAAGTGTTGCAAAAATTACGTTCGCACTCACCGCGAGATGGAGCATTTCCATTGGTAAAGTTTTAGCGATGGGCAGGGAATGGGAGGTTGTCTTCCAAGAGAAAATAGTCTAGATATATTTCTTCTGCCATCTGCTTAATAAACAGTTTTGTCATCTAAAAACTTGTATACATATTAACTTACACCTACTACGCAATATAACAACATAAACAGACGATCGCAGAAAGCTCCGGAGGGCCCCTTTAAGAGCATTAATTGCTCCTCTCCATAAACATCAGCAAACCGTGACCTCCTAAATGGCAAATTTCGTTACATACCAAATGATAAACCTCGCATCAGTTCACGGAACTGTAGCGTAACCTAGCCGAGAGTGTTTAACGTTCCCTCGCAGTATTGCGCAGCATGAAACAAACCACTTAAAAGGCAAAGTACTAAAGCAATTTCGAAGCCCGCCCCAAAGAAGAATAGAAATTTAGGACTGTACCAGCTAAGATCCCCCAAAGACAGCATGCAGACCATAAACAAATTTGAAAAAAGCAATGCCACAAGACCTTGTCAAAGATGGCCTTGTCGCTGTGCCACCGCATCACCGTCTCCAGCATGGAGCAGAGGAAGCGCCCGTAGCGGTTCGCTTCGTTCTCCGTGCATGCCGTCACCGTGTAAGTGATGTCGCAAAAGATCTGTTGAGGAAAAGTGGATTGAAATACTACAGGTCACCTTTCCTTAATGGTACTAAAATGTATATTTTATTTAGGAATACTGCAGGCCAATTGCGGCCCAAGCAGGATTGGGGGTTACAAAAGTGGAGTAAAAACAAAAACGCTACACCAGGTAATCCTAATGCAGTACTTAGAAAGTTGATGTTTAAATTTCTTAAATGGTAGTTTCAGGCAGTGAAGAAAATTGTTCATTAGCTTCCCCGCTAAATTTAGCAGAGAAATTGTTGTCAGAGTGTCACATAATGCAAGTTCAATTTTTCTGCTAAATTTAGTAGAGAAATCGATGTCGCATGACATGGTCACGCAATGTGACATCGCAATATCAAGTCGTGGTGTCAGGAACGATAGACGGGCGGGCAAGGTTTTGGGATAGGGGAATTTCATTAAGAGGCATTCCACGCTATAGACCTTTTCATTTCAGTAGTTGCCTGACCGGCGAATAGAGGGCGCTGGCGCACTCGGCGCCATTAGGTTGCTTCAATTTGGTCGGTTTCGGTTTCAACATACACACGATTGTGATGCTGTTTCATGCCACTTTCGAATAATTTTGCGATATGAATTTCTTTCTAGAAGCACACAGCGAGTGAAACAATAGTATTGAGCCACTTGGCAAAGCACAAAGTGGTTTCGAGCCTAAATTGCAATCTTTTTTTACAAACACTATATGCGTCTGATTCCGTCCATTATTAATTTCGGCCAGGTTCGGCGGTGAAACAACTGCGCTGATGCACAGGGGGGATTACAATTGTACACGGCCGTACCCGCGCACAATAATTTCAAGAAGAAAAAAAAATTAAAAGCAGGAAAGCTCCGCCCGCAGCGTGCGCTCGTTGCCTACCACCGTGCTTTGGCTGTGCGTGCACCGAGTGGTAGGGAAAGTAGATAGCTCGCGCTCAAGTCAGATATTGAATTGATCATCTTATATTGCAACAGACTATATTGCATGAGTGCTTAGTGAAAAATCAGGTCGACAACATGATTAACAATCTGCTGAATCACCAAGAACAGATGAACTGACAAGTTTACTGTTCGATGTTTGGTTTCCGTACACCAACCTTTTCTAACTCAGAGACTGGAAACGTCTTTTATAATGACTAGAAAAGTTTAATATAATCACGTAGATAATATAAAAAAGTGATAATGTCTCGGCCTGTTTTATTTAAAGAAATTAAGCGCTCGAGAAATATTTTGATAGGCTGAGTAGGAAATTTCTTTAACTAAAGTACTCATTTACAGCATTTCAAATTATTGGCCTTATGAAATGAACTTTTTGTTATATGGACATTTGCTTACGACGTTCTCAAGGTATGAGAATGGTAAAATAAGTGAATGCCAGACTTCAAATAAAGTCTGATATTCATCTTCCGTAAAATTTGCCAAATGAAACTGAAGAGCGCAAAAAAAAATTATCTCCGATAAGTTTGGCTGAAGTCGAACGCCAGGCGCCACCCGGCCAATGGACCTTTGTAGAAAGCTGTTCACTGATTTCAAACGATGCGCTTTGCACATTTTGACGTCGCCATCTACTGAAAGTAACTACCTATTCGAAGTCGACAACCGGCTGCACTCGGGTGATTTTCATGCAGAAGGATTCTTTTCGGCGTCTTATTTTATGAATCATAAGCACTATCAAGCTGTCTGTGGCAGTTTCTTACGCGGGGAGTTCAAATATTTGTGTTGAAATAAATTAATTGAAACTGCATGGTTATATTAAAAAATTACTGAAGCAACTGAAAGACTATAGACATGGGACCAAGCACAATATACAATTCCGTGAAATTCATAAATAAACCGATAAAACGAATGCTTATATCACACACGCGATTAAGAACGTAAAACAGAAATAGGTGTGATATTGCGAACAAACAAGTTGCCTAATGTTAAGGTACCATTATTTCTAGCATAAGAAAAAATTCAAACTAAATGTTTGTTCCCGCGCCTTGTCCACTAGTTTCCTAGTGTAACCAAAAGAAACTGTTTTCGATCTGTTGGATCTACAAAACAGCATGTTTTCAGGAAAAACAAGTGTCTAATTACGCTGAGTGTTTTTGTTTTCTTCCTTGACGCCAATGCGCACTCATATACATAATAACATTGGGCTTCCTATTGCAAATGTTCCGCCCTTATTAGTAACCAAACCTCAGTTCTCATAAGTTATTGGTGTTTGAACCCTCGAGGCTCTCTTCAGGTCATATATGTATTCAATGTGCGCAAGTGCTAACGCTGATTCCTGTTCCTATAAAATCTTTTCACCCGTATCCCGCACGCCGACAGTAAAAAAAAAAAATATTCAACACGTGTTACAAAATCAACTACAGAAGTTGCGCGCATAATGATGTAATGCAATTGCATGGTAAGTATAAGCATCGAAAGACACTTTACGGAGTAAGGCAACAGACGCGGTGAAACGCGACGAAAAACACAAATTCAACGCATCCGCCAAGGAGCGGACGGGAGAGCGGAGCAATAAGTTGAAGCAACCTAATGGCGGCCGCATCACGTGATTCCAAGATGGCAGCGCCCATGCGGCGGAGGGTGAAAAGGTCGATAATGTTCCAGGGTTGAGGCTTTCTACAAACATGACCTCCACAACGATAGACATGTTAATGCTTTTCACCACGGCACACGAGTACCGAGATGAAACAAAGCATTCGATTTTTCTACTTCCAGGCTTGTCTCCGCAGTGCGATTCCACTTTGATTGGTCGATACCAAGGCAGAGAGGTCTGCAGCCTTTTTCCACAGTATTTGGTATTCCAACACATTCATTTATGCACTCCCTCAGACGTTTGTCACCGAATGAGATTTTGGACAGCACAAACACAAAACATACCAGGTTGTAAACTAAATAGCGAGAAGAAATAATTACGCTAGCTTGAATCTGCCAGAAAAACCGGAGAGCACAGATTGCGTTACGAATGAACTGGGCACATATGCCGCGTCATATCAAGCAACATCATATGGCACCGTGACATCACACTCGTGCAACAAAGTAATGTCATGGTCCTTCACGACAGTTCTTTAAATGGATTCCTCACAGAACACGGCTGATAAAACACATTCTGCGGCGCTAAAACCAGAAAACACGCAGCAACGGCCGAACCCAAAGTAACTTGGTTATCACTTCAAATCAATCTCCAGTTCACAGTTCTTGCCCTCTGAGATGTTGTAAAGAGAAATACATCCTGCCGTGCATTTTGGATACCTTGACTTCTACAGAGAGTGATTTAATTTCACAACTCAACATGAAACGCACAGCACTATGTTGCGATGACCCATGTGGGGTCTCTGGAACCACCGGTGTATGCTTCATGCACCCAGCATGCACTAGGCACATTCTTTTCACTTCTTCTTCGAACGGTTACTCTTTGTTACATTTCTAATAGAGGGCGCCACAACAGTCAAAAGACACACCAGTGTAATCTAACAGCTATGAGGCTTAACCAGTGACTGAGGGACTGAGTTCTTCCTGTTTCAACTTACATTTCTCGTTACAATTGCACAGTTTTACTGCGTCCTCTCCCCACGGTAGCACGGAACATCGATGCAGCTTTCTAAAGCACGCCCGAGCTTCGGGTAGAACGGCTCAAGTGTGGCCAAAAAGGCCAGCGACCTGCATGCACCCACTTCCGAAGTACAACCTCAACAAAGTGCAACATGCAGAAATATCTTCTAATTTCTATAAAAATCTACCCCAGACTCGCTCTTTCTGGGGGAGGAGGGAGCAATGAAGAGAAGGGTGTGGAAAGGAACATTCTGCCAAGCAGAAAACGTTCCAAAGTTCGGCCTTTGAGAAATGCGGCGTGCAACCGCAAAACTAACTGGAGCTGCGAGAAATGTTTGAAATTTCGAATAACTCGCGAATGGTGTCTGCTATTCAATTCGATCCACAACACACTTCCGTCTGAAGTGTGCAAATATTCCAAACTAACAAATAATGCTCCCCCGAGAAATTGGGAAATCCTGAAAATACTATTTATAATTTTTGAATATAGTAAAAACTCAAATTCTTCTAACAGTAAAAGTGTGCAGGGAATGGAATCAAACAACAAATGCAAAATATTCAAGGTTTTGAGTATTTGTATAACTTCTATACCCAGTCGCAGGTTAAAAGCAGGACAATGTCCCCTCATAAGGGCCATCACTCTTTCCACTTTGGCAGAGGAAATGCTGGAAAGCAGGTTAGTGGGCTTGCTTCCTCTCTCACATATGCTCACTAAAGTTTCTAAAGTGGAGGTCTTTGTGAGAAAAGCCTGTCTTGCGTTTCTTAATACGCAACAGGGTATAGTGAGCGGAGAGCAGAAGGTTGTGGCACCCCCTCACCTTGTCGTAGCAGATGAGGGTGGAGAAGTTTGGCGTCTTCAGAATGTGGATCAGGTGCACAAACTTGGCACAGTAGAGGGCGTCCAGGGCCGTGAACGTGCAGCGTGGGAACACGCACAGCTGCAGGAACTGCGTGATGGTCTCGTTCTTGGCCGAACCTGCCGTGCCCCGGCGAAAACGCAGACGTTGCAAAAAACGGAGCCAAGCAACCGGATTACGAGCAAGGGCAAATCGCGGTGAGCACCAAGCCCGACTCTGTTTAGCGCAAACGCGACTTCGACGCTTTCTCACGTTCTGCTTCGAAAGGGTGTTGGCAGATATGTAGCGGCCCGAAAGAGCACTTTCACCCACACTAGTACTTTCAAAGGCATTTGAATTCTTAAAAAAAAAATAAATTGCAATGGCTAGTTTGTGTTTGCAGCGTCGTGCTACGTACCATCAATCCGAGCATGGCAGAGCCGTCACTGACCAAGGGGACGGTAGGCACCGTTTGAATGCACAGGGTGAAACAAGGAGACGCCACGCTCTTTAAATCGACCGGAAAATTCGATTTCCTAACCTATCGCTCTACGACTTTTTATCAGCATTGCCCACAGATGGTGCATTTTTTTTGTAAAATTTGCGAAGAGCGAACTTCCCTGAGGGAAAAGTAAAGAAAGAAAAAGGCTTAGCTCCTATGGAAATGCAGCGACGCCACCGGTCTGCAAACAACAAAGGCGCCGTTTCGCACAGGAGACAAGAGATGGCGCAAGCGGTCGCAACGCCAACTGCCGCCAACGAACGAGCACACAACGCCGAGAGCCGGCCCTTTTGCAGACAAGGAACTGCAGTTCCTTGCTGTTACCGCGCTTGTCTTTTTTGTTTCTGCGACTGTCGCCGCCTGCGGAACGCGCGCCGCTTTTGAGTCGAAAAGATTGTCTGCTAAAAAGGCCTGCACTCAACGCCGTATGCTCGTTCGTTGGCGGCGTTTGTTGCACCATCTCTTGTCTCCCATGCAAAACGGCGCCGTGTTGTTTGCAGACCGGTGGCATCGCTGTGTTTCCATAGGAGCTAAGCCTTTTTCTTTCTTTACTTTTTCCTCAGGTAAGTTCGCTCTTCGCAAATTTTACAAAACAAAATGCACCATCTGTGGGCAACGCTGCACAAAGACGTAACGCGATAGGCTAAGAAACCTAATTTTCCGATTGATTTAAAAAGCCTGGCGTCTCCTTGTTTCACCCTGTAGAATGAGCGAGGTCGTGTTTCAATGTACCGCGGCATCAGTTACTGCCTTAGCGACATACCTAGGATCTTTTTTTTTCTTATTCTTAAGCTACAACAGAGCAAAAGCTAATTTGGTAGCGTAATTTAGTAGCGTAACTACGTAGGAATACCAGTTGTCAGAAGTCCAAAAATATTTCCAACTGTTACCCAAACTGCTCATTAATCATCCTTTTATTTTATGCCGAACAACACAGCCAGAAGTCAATTTATAGAGCAGATAATAAGGAGTCTTCGAGAGGGCCTCTATCGACGCAATGCTTAACGTTTGTCTGGATCCTTCCCTGCCCAAACCAGGAAAGCATAAACCAAGGAACGAGGCAATCAACACACCCCGTGCCGTCTCTTTAGGTCAGACACCGAGGCGCGTGCAAAAAAGGTCGCCGGCCCAAGAAATCTAACAAGGGAAAGCAAAGGAGTCTGGTCTCGCAAGATGGACGCTCTTCTCCAACCAAGCCACAATCGTTGAAAGGACGAGGCCAGCTGGGCAACTCTTTCCGATGCTCAACCTCGTTGCCTTCCACCATGCTCAGACCCCGTGCGCATGCTCGAGGCTCGCGAGACACTGAACACTGCAGTAGCGTCGGCGTTCGGCCGGGGCTCGGGTTCTGTCGGCGAAGCCGAACACGGAGGGGGCACTCACCAATTCTTAACTTCGTCCTTGTCGACCGAGAGCGGAAAAAAAAAAAAAAATTGGGCACGAGTCTTTTTGTTCTGCGCTCGGTCGAGAAAAACAGAGCACAGAATCCGGTGCACGTCTCTCACGTCGGTAAACGCGGAGCTCCGGAGAAATCAAGCCGGACGTAACGCCCCCCGTGGTCCAATGTCGCGCAAATGAATGACCGCGTGCCCCCAGAGGGGTCGACCACTGACGGGAGTGGAACCAGGCGTCCTTCTCGCTGCGCAGCCGTGCCAGGACGCGCCCGCAGTGGTCCTGCTGCTTCCGCTCCTCCTCCTGCAGCTTCTCCATGAGTGCTTCGCACCGGTCGCGCTCCTTCTTGCGCTTGCTGGGCACCTGCACCAAGACCGCCCAGCGACGCCGTCAGAAGGCTCCTCCTGCGAATGGGACTGTCGGCGGAGAACCTGACGGGTGTGCGGATTTCTTTTATACTCCATTCGCACCATCGTACTTTGAGCTAAGTGACCTCTATTGTCGGCTGCGTAACCGGTTCGTGATTCTCTGCACGTGGCGTCTGCTCGCAACCCAGGAGCACAATCTTATGTTAGGACTGAAGTGAAAGGGGCACTCAAGTGGATTCCAAGATATATTTATGGTGATAACTAGATCTTCAAGCTATAAGTATCCTAAAAGAAAACGAAATTGCGCTCATGGGCGGCTGATTTCCCCATAAAAAAAAATATTCAAAGATTGCAACACGCCCCTCTTTCTGAGTCTTGGAGCAGACACCAGGAGGCGCCGTCGGATGGCGTTCCGAAACAGTAACTGCTGTATCACAACTCCTACACCCAAAGATATTAAATTTCTTTTTTCAAAGGATAATGCACAACGCGCTTCAAAAGAGCAATAATAATAACATCAGTAATATCCATGTACTTAACTATTTTTATTGGTCGAATATTATGCAGGAGGTGGGGACCCAGGATGGTCACCCCGCCCACTTCCTCCCCCCTCCCCCACAAGAGAAAATGGTGCCCGTGTATTTCTATTGCTGCGAGTCTACTTGGACGTCTTGCCTCTGGAACTGGTCATTCTAAAGCACAACAATATGCTGCCAAAAACAAGCTTTTACAGAAAGCACTTGAGTGCCCCTTTCACGTTGGACGTGTGAATAGAACATAAGCGCCGCGTGAGAACTTCCGTCAGGTTCTGTCCAACGGCCTAACTCCAGCTGGAGTTAGGCCAATGAGGGAACTGGTGTCAGTTCCCTCAATACGTTACAGACATGTTTTGGACATACCCAAAACGCACATTTTTCTTCGTTGGAAAATTTTTCTTCGGCACCTTGGGAGCATACTCATGGCAACTAATGTTGTAGCTTTATTATGTGCAACACTAACATTGCAACCTTATGTTGTAGCCACTAGCTATACAGTACCTCCCACTGTCAGGATATGTTATTTTTAAGGAAGCCAGTTCTTGCAGAATTATCTCCTTTAGAATTAATGTGTGGTTTACGTAAGAATTAAAGACTTATTGATCTTGTGTTCATTCTTTTTTTCCACTTGCATTTATATGCTTTGACCCTCAGAGCAATGAAGCATGAAGTTCAGCCTAGATCTGTACTGCATTTTGAAAAATTAAACACACAAACCTTGATCTCTAAAGTCAAGAGCAGGCATTGTCAGATTAATAGCAAAATGCATTATGCACCGAAGTGGGAAAAACAAAACAAAGAAACACTGCCGATTCTGCAAGAATGGCTTATAACAAAACAAGCAACAGTCTTGATTAACAACCTTATTTTTTTGTATGGCTTTAGCAACCCTCAAGCATCCCAAGTTAAACTGCTTGCTTTGTCAGTCAGCTGAACTCGTTGCGTTGTGTGTGGCTCAAAGCACAATTTTTTTTATAGCACCACCTGGTCAATGACTGCCCCCAAAATGTCGCATGGCTAAACATCTGCGGCGGAAAAGTACCGAAACATTGGCTACCCCACCTAATTCACGCAATGTCCGACGGGACTCCTTCCAGCCTTATTTGCTAAAATAGAATGTGCTGTGGTTCCAAACAAGCTAGACTACAAGGAAATGCAAGCTGTAACTCCAACATTAAGCTCTTTTTGTTTTACCATGATGCAGTGCCGCAGAAATCGCAGTAAACGTTCGCAAAACAAACGACTAAATCAAGCGACTTTTCAAGATCGCTTGTTTACCGGCGCCTTCTTGGCAAGCTTCTTTTTTCATCGCCGCTATCAGAAGGGGGTGCCACAAATCACTAATATAAAAAAAAAAAGAAAAAAAAAAGCTGTCGGTGTGTGTGCGAATGAACGCACACATTGGGCAGCAGGTTTGGCTGCCCAGCCAACAGTGGCACGTGGCCTGCCCGTCTTTCACGGCCGCTGCTACTGCCAGCTAGGTCAGCGGGGTGGATGCGCTCATTTGAGTACATGCCACCATTTTTCCCCTTACAATAGCTAGCAGTCGCTGGCATGCGTGCAAACTGCTGACACAAGTACGAACTGCCATACTAACCACACAGAGAGGTAACGATTTCCCTAAGACATGTTGTCAGACGTCCTTTCGAAACGTCTAGCGATGATTGTGTTGTAAACGGACGAAAATATTCCACTTACGGGATGAAGACAACCGTACCATAATTCTCCACGCGTTTTACTTCGTCCTATGGCATGCTCAAACGACCGAGCAACACAATTCCACGGACAAGGAACGAAATGATTTGTATCGCAGTGTCGTTCCGAAACCTGCAGGATTCCGGTGTCGTTCCAGAGTATGAGAAGGATCCAGAATGAGTCGCCACTGACAACTGCTCAAGCTCTCCCCCCTCCCCTCCCATAAAACTGGAAGGCACAAAACTCCAAGGACAAGTAGCTGAGTCGGTTACCAGTACAGCCCCAATGATGATATCCTTTCCAGCTGGGAAAGGAAGCGCGAGATCACGTACAAAGTGTCTCCGGGTTGCACATTTCCAGTTTGTACCTTTCCGATTTACGGCTAGTTCTAGTCTGTACACTTCATTTCCCCAGAAGGGCAAGCGAGGCTGAGGCCACAAGAGCAAGGACATCGCCTTGCACTTTTGGTAAAATGTATGGCACCTTCTGTGTAGAAGTGGCAATCCATTAAAAACGACAACGCAAGTGGGCGTTGTCTGGATTTAGAGTTCAACAGGTATTATCGGGTGTGAATAAAATGTGAACTGCAAAGCACGTCCTTTTTGTGCAAGCTGCGTTACCTAAAGACACCTGGGAATCGATGCAACTCCGGAGCGGAGAGCGGGGGCTGCAAAGGTATACATATGGCATAGCATGCGCCCTTGCAACTCCACTCTGCAATTCTACCTGTTCTTAGCGATCTCTGGTAGCGCAGCATACACTGTAGGCCACATGCTCTACCGTTCGCATTTCTATGAAACCTGACAGTACAGTGCAATCCACTTATAGCGATACCACATATAACGATGTACCTCTTATAACAATCAGTTTCTAGGGTTTCTAGATTGGGAATGATCAGTTTCTAGTCCAGACGCAACGATAATCGGTTATAACGATTGAATTTTCAAGTTTTCTCAGTATCGTTATAAGTGGATCGCACTGTACACAAAACTTATACAGCAACAGAACAGATACCCATCCTTCTCTATCTATCTATTAAAGGGGTACAGAAACGAAATTCCAGCGCTCATTTTTTAGCTTTAATGTGTTGCATGTTACAGCCTAACCTCAAAGATACCAGTCTTTCGTTGAAAGGCACAAGAAAACTAATTTTAAACCTAATTAAACAATCTTTCAATGTGTACAATCAGCACGGAATGAAACCCGAACGCCGGAACGCGTGGCCATCGATACAGGCTGCTCCACCTGGAGGGCCCCTGAGAACTAATGAAAATGCACATGGGTGCGAGGGTGCGGGCCCTACTAAGATATCCTCAACCCTCGCGCTGGGCGTCTGGGACTTTCGCGTTTCGCCGGTGGCGCGCTGTAACCGCCGTCACTCGGGGTGCTCTTCTGTCGCCGCACTGTCGCCCGGTCGACACCGGGCGGCCGCTTAACCTGGCTACAGCTGTTTGCAATAGGCCCTGCTCAGACAGGGTAATGAATTTATTCCACTCCGGAATTGATACGCCTGGCATATCGGTGGTTACCGAAGAAAACCTCAGCGAGCAATTTCTCTATTTTTTTAAAAATCGACTGATAACCTTGCACGAAAAATTGCTCATTGCTCATAAAACCGAGGCATCCGCGTCGGTCTGTTGCAGCATTTTTTTTTTCATAAAGAATATGGGTGTGCGAATAAACAAAATTTATTTCGCGTTTATGACATTTCACTATTTCTCAGAAACCGCGCGTGGCACGTTGTTTCCGGTGACACGTCATCGAGCACTACGGGTCTTCTTTGCAAGAAATGTTTTAACTTTAATTTTGCTATTGCGATACACAAAGTGATAATGAATGACAGCGCTGAAGAGATATTGCTGGGAATCCGATACACAAAGCGAGTGACAGTGCTTTTTGTATCGAATCTGACGGCGCTTACAGCGGGAAAATTTTTCCTCTAAATTTAGCGGTAAAAATTTTCGGCTAAATTTAGAGGGGAATTTTTTCAGCTAAAGTTAGCAGGAAAAATTTTCCGCAAAAATTAGTGAAGAAATTTTTACGCGAAATTTAGCGAGAAATATCTTCCGCTAATTTTAGCAAAAAAATGTTTCTGCTAAATTTAGCGGGGAAATTTCTACGCTAAATTTAGCGGGGAATTTTTTCCACTAAATTTAGCGGGAAACTTTTTCCGTTACAGTTTAGCAGGGAATTTTTCCGCTAGATTTAGAGAGGAAATAATTTGCTAAATTTAGCAGAAAATTTTTCTGTTAAATTTTGCGGAGAAATTTTTCTGCTAAATTTAGCGGGGAATTTTTTCTGCTAAATTTAGCGGAAAAAGTTTCCCTGCTATATTTAGTCTAAAAAATTCAGCAGAGACATTTTTCCGCTAAATTTAGCGGGAAATATTTTTCGCTAAATCTAGTGGAGAATTTTTTCCACTGAAAATCCCCGTGATTCATTATGGGAAACGTCCCATAATGCAATGCGCAGTTATGCCTACAGCGATGCTGAAGTCGCTCAAGCCAGGAACGGGCGCCTAAGCTGCGCTCTAGAAAGTCCAAGAGTTCCAAGCCTATTGTAAAATACCAAGCGTGCCGCTATATCGCAATAAGTGCCAGCCCACTACTTTTGAAATGTATGGAAAACATGCAAAGGACATATTGAGCGCCTACTCCTTACTTCCGAGCCCCACCCTAGCTAACCGAGATGCTCATTCGCGTCGGCTGCTTCTTTATGCACACTGGCGCAAAACTGAGCTTGACACGCACGCGCCAATGCAAAG